CCAAAACCAGAAACCATTGTAAGTTACGTAAGATTCGCGCTACCGAAGCCATGAACCCTCGTAAATTAATATTGGCCCCGGCGTGAAGTCCCGACACTGCTTCACGTCAGCGTCCAGACATCCCAACACAGGTCGGACAAGTTCCATTCTAAGAGAGGGGGGCCAGCGGCATGGGGGCGAAGCCCTTACGGACAAGACCTCCTTAAGCCTCCTCCGAAGAGGCACGGCTCGGAAAATGCGGCGGCAGCTGCTACTCTTGATCGAGAATGGAGTGCAGAGGTGAGACAACAGTTAAAAAAGAAATGAGAAGACGAGTGATGTCGAAAACGCGAGGGGATAGGAAAAGAGATAAGGTAGATGTGATAGCAGATTCGCGACAAGGCAGCTTGGAGGGACCGTTCTAGGACGCTGTCGGCACATTCCGACTGGCGGTGGAGTCTGAATGGGCCCGCCCGGACGGGCAGTCGATCGGACTCTCGACATGCTGGCAGGTTGCAGAATCCAGTCGGACCGTACCAAGACCAACAATAACGGCACCGATAAAGTAGGACTAGCCCATAACCTCCGGCCACGACCACCTCCTCCTCCTCCTCCTCCGCTTCCTCCTCCCCCTCCTCCTCCTCATCATCATCCTCCATTCCTTTTCCTTATAAACAACTTCTCCCTGTCGCACCCCGAAGCCAGTCTTTTGGGCGGGCGGGCGTTTCGCCTGAGACTTTCTCACCACTCATGACTCTGAAGCTTAAACATTGGCAACAGTTTCGCAGATGGAGGGCGGGTCGTTTTCAAAATGTGGCTCTCGCCTTAGCGCGGCGCAAATTCGATATAAAAAAATGCAGCAGCTACACAGATGGAGGGCGGGTCGTTTTCAACATGTGGCTCTCGCCTTAGCGCGGCGCATATTCGCTTTAAACATCTGCAAGAGCTTCACGGATTGAGGGCGGGTCGTTCTCAAAATGTTGCTCTCGCCTTAGCGCCGCGCACATTCGTTTGAAACGTGCTTCACGGATTGAGGGCGAGTGGTTTTCAAAATGTGGCTCTCGCCTCAGCGCGGCGCACATTCGTTATAAAATGTTGCGCGGGTTTCCTTTTTCAAAATGTGGCTCTTGCCTTAGCGCCGCGCACATTCTTTTACAAACGTTTCAAGGTTGTCACGGGTTCCCATCATCAACGTACAAGAAAACGTGTTTTGAAGGATTCAGGATTATGCGTGTGCAACAGTTACATTGGTTCTCGGTGTTGAAGTCCTAATAATAACGTTCTGGCATGATTCAGAATCGTCAAGACGCAACAGTCAGGTTGACCCGTGGCGTTGGAATCCCGAGAACAATGTTTTGGCATGCTTCAGGGTCTTCAAACGGGTGTCTTCCAACGAGGCAGTTCCATCAATGGAAATGAACCGTTGTAGGGGCCTATGAAGTGAGAGCTTGGAGGGAAGGTTTACTCCAACATCGTTGATGACTCTTGGGTTTACACTGGCCCTCCACCTCCTGCACCTTCTCCTCCTCTTCCTCCTCCTCATACTGCCTGCCGCGACTCGCCTCCCCGAGTACCCGTTCGCCCTCGGCCGCCTCGAGCCGAATCATCCCCATCCTCGCCCATCACCAATCCTCGGGTGGATGTGCCGATCTGCACACCAGCCGAGATCCTGCGCCCCGCTGGCCAGGGGGCAGGGTGGCCGCAGTGAAGCTTGCGCCCACACCCCAGTCGCGCGGGTGGTGTAGGATTTTGCCCATTAACCAACGCCACCAAAAGACATACACTGACACCCTCCGACAAATCTTGCATGTACCTTCAGGGAGGGCGGCGGCGCATCACGTCGCTGGCCCTCAGTGGTGATGTATACACCGCCGATCTCCCCTGAGGCCCAAGAACAATATATTGGAGGCTGTTTGCGTATATCTATCTGTATATATTTATTTATATATATATATATATATATATATGTGGCGGGTCAACCGTCCCCCTCCCCCGCAACATCACCCCCCATCGCCGCAAAGTCGGCGTCACGAGGGAAAATGGGGGGACCCCGCTGGCCCATCCAGAGGAAGAGCAGCGGCGAAAGCAGAACCGCTCGGAGGTCCGCGCCGATCTCTTGGTGCTCCGCGCTGGACACCCCCCCCTCCTTCCCTGGCGTGCGGAGCGCGCCAGGGGCGGCGCTCAAGGCGCGGCCAGGGGGGCCGCCCAGCACACAGACCCAGATCCAGCGCGAAAGTGTGTTCACGCAGCTCTTCAAAAAAGAGGGAGAAGGCCTTCTCGGAAGGCTCCGAAGTTCCCTGGCCCTCTGAGAAGCAGTCCAAGCCCTCCCCGAAGACACGGCCAACTTCTCAGAACGCGCGAGGGCGTCTGAGAAGTCCGGCCGCCATCTGAGAAGGCCTTCTCCTTCTAACAGTTCCCCCCCTCCTCCTCCTCCTCCTCCTCCTCCTCCTCCTTCTCCTCCTCCTTGTCCTCCTCCTCCTCCTCCTCGCCTCCTACTCCTCCTCCCCCATCCTCCTCCTCCTCCTCCTCCTTCTCTTCTCTCTCTCCTCCTCCTCCTCCTCCTCCTCCTCCTCCTCCTCTTCGTCTTCTTCTTAGTATGAGTATTATTCTGCTTATTGATATTAGTAGTATGATTCGTATTGTTATTATTATTATTACTATTGCGTTTCTTAGTATTCATAATATTATTCTTGTTATTAATAGTTGTCTTATGACTCGTATCTTTATTCGCATTATTATTCTTAGTGATAGTATTAGTCATATTCGTCTTATTACTATTACTATTACTATTATTATTATTGTTATTATTATTATTATTAGTATCATTAGTATGACTATTATTATGATTGCTGTTGTTATTTTTCGTCGTATTAGTATTAGTATTCTTAGTCTTATGAGTCGTCTTATTAGTATTCGTCATATTATTACTACTATTATTAGTCTTATTCTTATTATTATTATTACTATTACTATTAGAAATATTATGATTATTACGATTATTATTATGATTAATATTATTAGTATTCGTCTTCTTATGCTTCTTATTATTATTTTTGATCCTCCTCCTCCTCCTCCTCCTCCTCCTCCTCTTCCTCCTCCTCCTCCTTCTCCTCCTCCTCCTTCCCTCGCTCGCCGACGGCAATCAGTCAGCGCCCCCGCCCCTGGGCTGCCCGGCCGCCCGCGCGCCCGACGCCCCCAGGGCCTTCGCGTCCCCCTCGGCGCGCGCGCGCGGGTGCCACCGGGGCGGCGCCGCGCGCGCGGAGGGGCCCCCTGGCCCTCCGGCGCGAGCGGGGGCGGCCGCCTGGGGCAGTCGCATCGGGAAGCACGTCGAGGATGGTGAGCCTCCCCACTTACCCCACCTCGCTTTCCACTCCCCAGTCTCCTTCCCTACTCCTCCCGTCCAGACCTTCGCCCTCGCAACTTGCTCAGAAGACGCGGGGCCCGCTGCCCTGACCGCTCTTCTCTTATACGGCCCCGGGGGCCCGGCCACGGCCCTCCCAGACCCCCGACGTCGTGACTTGTCCACAACGTCGACCCCAGCCCAGTAGCTGGGAAACCTTCGAATCATAAATGCAGGTCGCTTTTTAGATGCTGGGTTGTTCAACATATTTAACACGATTTAACTTGAAACGGGTTTTAATATATGTAAAGAATGATAAGTAACAGCTTTATTGCTTGAAGGGGTCCAGACCTCTAGAGGTCTGGACCCCTTCCCCGGCACCCGTTTTTCATCCTGAGTCGTTTGTTGATGGTCCCGAGGCCCGGGAAGGGCCCCCGGAGGCCGGAAATAGCGAACAAAACTCCCATCGTCGAGGAGGTCTGGGCTCTGAGATCCAAACTCATGCAGCAAAAGCGGCCGCCACCTCGGCGTTGCCGAGCCGCAGGATGTCCGGGAATTCCTGCCTCCCTTCCCTCGGTGGCGCGCAAGCATGGATTAGCGATCCATGGACTTGCGCGCGATCGCCAATTCCATGGATCGGGGGAGGTGCCCTCCCCTAAATGTGGTCGGTGCCGCCTCGTTCGACGGCGGAAATCTACGATTTCCCCTGGAAACGGGACCCGTCGCTAACCCACGCCCCATTGATGACTCCCTACCAGACCACCCCAACCCAACCCGAAGTCCTGAATATCGGGTTGGTGGGGTACGGGTGTTTTCCACATGTTCCCCGACCACCCCCCACACTGGGGATGGAGGGCAAGTGGAGGTTTTCGGGCTGCGTTGAGGCGGTTTCGTGAGAGGTGACCTGGCCCAAGCTTTCGGGGATCTGCTAACCCGGGTCAATCAGACCCGGATCGGCAGGAAACAAAAAAACTGCGCAGGAAACTCAGTTCTTCGCAAACCCGGGTCAGCAAATTTGCGCGGCCGCCTCGCGGCCGCGAGCGGCTCGCTAGCCCGGGTCAGCCAGAGGGGGTCTTCGCGGGATCCTGCAGGACCCGGTGCCCTGGCTGAACCCTTAGACGAGCGCGTTCCACGACTCGCAAAGTAGCTACTCGCAGATGGCCGGGATCCGCCACAGGGGCCTTACGGTATAGTACACAAAGGCAGACGTATGGTTTGCTGACGCTTGCGAGTAGGCACTTTGCGAGTAGTGGCACGCGCTCGGCGAACCCCGTTCCCGGACATCCGACGACTTTTTCGAGACGCGGGCCCCCGACCTCCCGACCACTTCCCCGGCACCGGCTCCTCACCCCGAGTCCTTTTTTGACGGCCCCGAGGCCCGGCGAGGGCCCCGAGAAGCCGAAAACGACGAAAAAAAACTCCGCCTCGATTTTTCCGAGACGCCCGATGTCTGGGGACCCTCCCCTCTCTGCCTCTCCCCCTTCCCCTCGCTCGCCCTCTTCTCCGCTCGGGGGAGGCTGCAGCACCGCTCCACACTGTGCCGCCACCCCACCTCGCAGGGCGGGCATGCCGTCACGAAGGGATGTCACCCCCTACATTCTCCACGGGCCACCCTTCGCTGGCCTCGCTGGAGGCTCCAACGGCGCCTGCCTCCATCCCTCCCTCCCTCCCCCTCCCCCTCCCCAGCGCCGGCAGCGCTGCGGCCTCCGGGCCGCCGCCGCCCGGCGCGGGGGCGCCGCCGGACCGCGGCGGCAGCGGCCAGCCGGGGCCCGGCCCGCCCTCGGCGCCCGCGCCCGCCTGAGGGAACCGGGGCGTGCCCCGGCCTCCCTAGAGTTAAGTCGGGCGTGTCCCCCTGCAGGGGGATTTGCGACGAAAAATAAAACATACCCAAAAAATATTCCAAAATGGTCCAACAAAAAAAAAGTGCCCAGACTATTTTTTACTATTGAATATCCCCCCTGTAGAGGGACAGGGCCGACTTAAGCCTGAGCGGACCGGGGCGTGCCCCAGCGCCCGCCTGAGGGGGCCGGGGCGTGCCCTGGCCTCCCTAGAGAGCAGAAAATCCACCCCCATAATAAGCACCCCGACAAACGAAGCCGTTTAGTAAACGCCCCCCTGGAAGGAATCGAGCAGGGCAGGGCTGTTCAGTGAACGCCCAGGGCTGTCTAGTAAACGCGAACTGTCGGGGTCGGGGTGGTTTTTCCACCCTTGACTCCCTCCCCAGACATCGGGCGTCTCGAAAAAATCGAGACGGAAGTTTTTCGTCGTTTTCGGCCTCTCGGGGCCCTCGCCGGGCCTCGGGACCGTCAAAAAACGGCTCGGGGTGAAAAACCGGTCCCAGGGAAGTAGTCGGGAGGTCGGGGGCCCGTGTCTCGAAAAAATCGAGACGTCGGATGTCTGGGTCCCTCTCCACCAGAGGCCCAGCGATCCAACGCTCCAGCAGCTTGGAGCGGCGGGATATCTTGGCCGTGTTCGGCCTCGTCGGTGGGCCCTCGCCGGGCCTCGGGAGCGACAAGAAACGGCTCAGGACGAAGGAGCGATCCTGTTGAAGTGGTCCGGACCTCCGGGGCCCACGCATCGAAAAACTCGGAGCAGCCGTATGTATGGGAGCTTCCCCCCCCGTCCAGGGCGTCCAAAAAGGGGGCGTCCAAGAGGGGAGGGGGGGCGGGGGGGGTAATCATGGCAGGCGGCATGTGCGCGGCCCAGAGGCGGGGCCGGGGACGTATTTAACTGAGAGGAGGCGCCATGAAATCGGGGGAGACATCATGGCCCCCGCCATGATGTCCACCCCCCCCCTAGTCATCACCCCCCGCTGTGCCACCCCCCCCACACATGCGGCGCCTGGGACATTGAGGCGGCCAGTCTTTGCAGTTGTCGGCCTCCGAACCAGGCGCCAGGGCCGTGGAGCGCTGATCGGGGGCAGGAGTACTCGGGAGCGGCCAAGAGGGGGGTGTCCAAAAGGGGGGGGTGCAAATCATGACCGGCGGCATGTGCGCGGCCCAGCGGGGGGGCCAGGGACGTAATGGAATAAGAAGAAGAGGCGCAATGAAATCTGAGGAAATATCATGGCCCCCGCCATGATATCCCCCCCCCACTAGTCATCACCCCCCTCTTTGCCGCTCCCGAAGTACCCCGAAGGAGAGAGATGACGGAGCGAGACCCGGGCAGCAGGCGCGAACAGGAGCAGCCCGGCGCAGGGCCAAGCCCTGCGCAGCCCTGTGCAGCACAGGCTGCAGCCCTCTCCTCGCGTATGCCACGCGCCAGAAGACGTCTAGAGATCGGGCCTCCTCCTGATCCTCCTCCTTCTCCTCCGCCTCCTCCTCCTCCTCCTCCTCTTCCTCCTCCTCCGCCTCCTCCTCCTCCTCCTCCGCCTCCTCCTCCTCCTCCGCCTCCTCCTCCCCCTGTGGGGGCACGAAGCGTGTGCCGAGACGGGCGCAGGGCGGGATGCGGCCACCCCCACGGAGGCCGTGGTTGGAGCGCCTTGTGAGGTGCTGCGCCGATCCGGGCGCGGGGCGGCATGCGATCACCTCCGCTGGGGCCGCAGGTGGAGCCCCCGACGGGGACAGGGAACGTGTGAGGGGTGAGCCGAAATGGGCGCGGGCACGCTGCGCGACGGCGCCCCACTGAAGCTGGAGGTGGAGCTCCCTAGGAGGCCACGATCCGAGTGAAGGGCGTGTCGAAAGCGGGGGGCGACGCCATACGACGGCGCCCACTGGTCCAATGGGACACGTGTGAGGGGTGCGCCGAAGTGGGCAGGGGGGGCGCCATGCGGACTCTCCCGCTAGGGGTGGAGGTCCCTACGGGGGACGGGTGCACGAAACGTTTGTGGGGTGTGCCGAACTTGGCGCGAGGACGCCATGCGGTCGTTCCCACTGGGGCCGCAGGTGGAGCCCCATGTGAGGCCACGAAATGTGTGAGCGGTGTGCCGAAACTGACCAGGGACGCCAAAGGACGGCGCCCACTGGGGCCGGAGGTGGAGCTGCTCATGGGGCCACGAAGGGCGTGAGGGTCACAACGGGTGCGGGGAGGACATGCGACGGCGCCCACTGGGGCCGTAGATGAAGCCCATTATGGGGCCACGGAACGTTTGAAAGGTTACCGAAATGGGCGCGAGGATGCCATGCGAACTCTCAGACTGGGGTCGTCGGTGGAGCTCTCCGTGCGTGGCCACGAAACGTGTGAGGGATGTGCCGAACTGGGCGGGAGGATGCCAATTCGACGGCGCCCACTGGGGCCAAGTGGAGAACAGAAGGGAGTCCACCCGGGAAATGTTAGGAGGCTAGACAGGAGAGCAGAAGGGAGACCACACGCGAGACCACGGGAGACCACACGGGAGACCATCAAGTCACCAATCCCAGGGCCACCCACGGACCCCCCAGCCCATCTCACAAGCCATCCATGAAACCCTTGCAGGCAGGCCGTTGCGGGCCTGATCCTGGCGAAAGGCCCAGCCCGCAGGTGGCCACAGGCGTGGCTCCATATGCCATATCCGGGCACGGTGCGCGTGAGGGGCGTGCTGAGATTGGCACGGACGCGCCACACCAGAATTTCCACTGGGGCTAGAAGTGGAGTTGCCTGTTGGGCACGATCAGCGTGAGTGGTGTGCCGGGATGGGCGAGGGGACGCCATGCGAGCAACTCCCCTGGGGCCATAGGTAAAGCTCCGTAAGGAACATGATCCGCGTGAGACGTGTGCCGAAAAGGGCGGTGGACGCCATTTCAGCACCTCCAGTGGGGTCATCATAAGTGTAGCTCCCCATGCGGCACGGCCCGCAAACAGGCATGTGCCAAAACAGGCGGGGGCGCCATGTGAGCACCTCTGGTGGGACAGTCGGTGGGGCTGCCTGTGGGGCACAGCCCGCTTGTGGGGTGTGCCGACACGCGCGGGGGGACGCCGTGCGAATACCCCAGCCGGGGCCATCAGTGGAGCGCCCTGTGGGGCACGGTCCGCGTGAGGGGTGTGCCGAGACGGGCGTGCGGACGGCGAGCCGAGGCGGGGACAGGAGGAGCGAGCAGGCGCGCGGCGCCGCGGATCCCAGAGCGGGGACCCAGCACACGGGAGGACTGCGGAAAGCACGACCAGCGAGGAGGGGGAGGAGGAGGAGGAGGGGGAGGAGGAGGAGGAGGAGGAGGAGGAGGAGGAGGAGGAGGAGGAGGAGGAGGAGGAGGAGGAGGAGGAGGAGGAGGAGGGAGGAGGAGGACCCCCCCTGCAGCCCCTCCCCCCCCCCCCCCCCCGCACGATACCCCCTCCGATCACCCCCCTCGCCCTGTGCGGGCCGAGCGCGCCGCGGGCGAACAGCACGTCCGCGTCCGCGGCTCCGCGGGCCAGGCGCCAGGGCCGCGAAACTCCGCGGACACGGGGCGATGTTTGTTCGTTCGCGGAGGCCCCGCGTGGAACGTGTCCGTGCGACCGCGCACCCGCGGTGCGCCCCAGGAGCCCAGGCCGCGAGGGCGCGGAGGAGGACGTGTCCGCCGCTCGTGGGCGGGGGGCGCATCCTCATCCAGAGGAGGAGGAGGAGGAGGAGGAGGAGGAGGAGGAGGAGGAGGAGGAGGAGGAGGAGGAGGAGGCGGAGGAGGAGGAGGAGGAGGGGGCGGAGAAGGAGGAGGGGGCGGAGCGGTCGGGCGAGGGCGCTTCCTGCCGCCCCCGCCGCCGTCAGCGCCGCGGCGAGATCCGAGGCGCGCGGGCGCAGCGGCAAAACGGCCGCCCGGCGGCCGCCGTCCACGTCGCCGCGCCGCAGCGCGTCCAACTTGGAGTCGACGGCCCGCCGACGCGCCGCCTCAGGGGTGGTGTGGGGAGGACGGGGGGGGGGGAGGAGGAGGAGGAGGAGGAGGAGGAGGAGGAGGAGGAGGAGGAGGAGGAGGAGGAGGAGGAGGAGGAGGAGGAGGAAGAAGAGGAGGAGGAGGAGGAGGAGAGAAGGGAGGAGGAAAGCGAGGAGGAGAAGGAGAGGAGAAGGAGGGAGGGGAGGAGGAGGAGGAGGACGAGGAGGAGGAGGAGGAGGAGGAGGAGGAAGGAGGAGGAGAAGGAGGAGGAGGAGGAGGCGGAGGTGGAGGAGGAGGAGGAGGAGGAGGAAGAGGAGGAGGAGGAGGCGGAGGAGGAGGAGAAGGCGGAGGAGGAGGGGGGGAGGGCGGAACCCAGGGCTCCTGGGGCCGTGGAGCATAATCCTGGCGGGGATGTTTCCTCCATTGCTCGGACCCTAGGGAGGCCTCGCTGGGCCCCAGGACCATCATCATCATCATCATCATCATCATCATCATCATCATCATCATCATCATCATCAGCACCATCATCATCATCATCATCATCATCATCATCAGCAGCATCATCATCATCATCATAATCATCATCATCATCAGCAGCATCATCATCATAATCATCATCAGCATCATCATAATCATCAGCATCATCATCATAATCATCCTCATCATCATCATCAGAATCATCCTCATCATCATCATCATCATCATCATCCTCATCAGCAGCATCATCATCGTCCTCATCGTCCTCATCGTCCTCATCCTCATCCTCATCCACATCCTCATCCTCATCCTCATCATCGTCATCATCATCAGCATCATCGTCATCGTCATCATCATCAGCAGCAACATAATCGTTATCCTCATCCTCATCTTCATCCTCATCCTCATCCTCCTCCTCATCCTCATCCTCATCTTCATCCTCATCATCCTCATCCTCCTCATCCTCCTCATCCTCATCCGCCATCCTCTGCCTGTTACTGCGTGAGTATTATCCGTCTCCTCCTCCTCCTCCTCCTCCTCATCTTCCTCCTCCTCCTCGACCTCCTCCTCCTCCTCCTTCATCCTGTTGTTCCCTCTCGTTCGATCCCTCGTCTTCCCCATGCCCCCGGGACGCGGGCTGTCCGGCCCCGCCGCCTCGGCGGCGGGGGTGAAGTCCGCCGCCCCGCTCTCCTGGCCCGCGTGTGCACCCAGAATCCTCTGCGATGGAGGAGGAGGAGGAGGAGGAGGAGGAGGAGGAGAAGGGGGAGGAGGAGGAGAAGGAGGAGGAGAAGGAGGAGGAGGAGGAGGAGGAGGAGGTGAGGCACGCGCGAGCGAGGGAGGAGGGAGGAGGGGCAGGAGACGGGGAGGGGAGGGAGGGAGGGCGGGATGGTTTTTTCTTTACATCAACATCCATGAGAAAAAGAAGTGCCACCTCAAAGCGGGAGGAGAGGGGGAGCGACGGGAGCGAGGAAGGAAGCGAAGGAGTGACAGGAGCGGGCGAACGAACGAGGAGGGAAGGGAGGAAGAGGAGGAGGGAGAGAGCGGAGAGGAGAGAAGGGGGGAGGGAGGACGGAGGGGGGGGAGGGGGGAGGAGGGAGTACGTTCAGCCTCGCGTGCCCAGTCCGGACGAACGTTTTCTCTGCCGCGAGGCGGAATAGGCGAGCAGCTGCAGCGCGGGTGAGGGCCGAGGAGGAGAAAGCCCGTAAGGGAGCCAAGGAAGTCGCGACACGGGAGATCCACGCGAGGCCACAGCATAAGCAGGCAGCCGCGCGCGCGCACGCACGGGAGCAGCCGAGACGAATCAGCGCGCCCGGCGGTACTCCCACTCTGCGCCTCTCCATGCGCCCCACGGACTGGCAGCCCTGTCTGTCCAACTGGTCTCTTACCTGCTCCGTACGCATGCACCCCCAGACTCGGGCCGGGCGAAAGGGGGGGATAGCAAAGGGGGGGGGTGCGAATCAGCTCACGTCGCTGATCTTCCCGGCGCCTCCCGGCGCCGGGAGGCGCCCACGCATCGAGGAATGGGCCCCGCGGCGGGGCCGAAACCAGCTGCAAGCAGCAGATTTCGTAACCCCCCCTTTCCCGATCCCCCCCTTTCGTTCGGCCCGACAGACCCCCGACGTCGTGTTTTTTTCTTCACAAAACGTCGACCCCCAGAGGTCCAGACCCCTTCCCCAAAACCAGTCTTTCATCTTGAGTCGTTTCTTGACGGCCCCGGGGACGGGTGGGGGACCCCGGAGGCCGAAAATTGCGAAAAGCCTCCCGTCGTGATTTGTTGTATCACAAACCGGGGGGGTCTGGGCCCAATGCGTGCTTCATTGACGGATGCCCTGGCCGACCACATTCGCGCGAAAATGCCCAGCCCAAAAATTCAACAGAACAGGGGCCGATAACACAAAGACGAGCAGGGAGTGCTGGTCTCCCTCGCGCGCTGTTTTTGTTCGGCAGAGTGAGCATGTGAGTCATCGTAAATGAAAAGCAACGCATGACTGTGGTGCAGATACGACGCGCAAGCTTTGCGATGCAAGCTCTGTGGCACAATTTACAATTATTGCCAGCGTGGACCCCAAACAGTGAGGTGTGATCTACGGGGTGCGATCTGTGTGGTGTGAGCTGCGTGGTATAGGCTATGTGGCGCAGACTATGTGGCGCAATCTAGATGGTGCAGGCTATGTGGTGTTAGCTATGTAGTGCAATCTGACTGGTGCCAACTCACGAGTTGTCAACTCCACTGCCCGCGCAATTAACCCGCCCTCCTATCCGCAGCGTGTTCGGCAAAACCCATGCGGTGACTGCTTCGCCCCGGCTAGCGCAAGAAAGCTCGCGCGCTGAGTGGCAAGCTGGTTTGACACGGCTCATGCGGCCGCGATGGCGCTTGCCGATGAGGCCCCAGAGGCCACGCTGGCGCACGGGCACATCAGCGCGTGTCGGTGACCCGGGCGGGCGCGACATCATGATGACGTCAGCAACGGCGACAACGGTGATGATAGTAGCGAGTAGGGGCGATGATGACGACGGCGGCGGCAAGGCAAGTGGTGACGATGACAACGATGATGTCATTGTAGCAATGATGCAGACGACTGGCTGAGGATGGCGACAATTCCGGAGATTGGCGATGACGTTAACAGAGGTGATAAGGTGGCGCTGGTGCGGGTGGAAGTGGGTAAGTATGTGCGATAACAACGAATCCGGCAGACCTTCCGGTGAGGAACAATCGGTTGCTTTCACGTGTTGTCATAAGCTCTATCTGGGAGCAGTATAAGCTCTATCTGGCAGCATTCGGTTGTTTCTCGAAGGATTTTGACACGCGCGCGAGGCGACGCGCGCGTGGCTCGCATGGTATTTGTGCTGCGGACCCGCGAACTGGGCGCATGCCAGATCAACGCAGACGCATCGCGTGTTGAGATGGGAATGCGGGTTCTGGAAAAATGCTGAAATTGTATGGTTTCCATGCGAGTCCAGCAGACGCGCGCGGGCAGCCAAAGTGCAGAAATTGTGATGAACAGCCGACGGGTGCTGCTGCTTTCATGTTGGAACGATCGCAGAACTCATGTGCTCGGTACGATGTTTACATGTGCACGCGCCTGTGGGCATTGTACCATCTGCTACAAGAGATGATTGGCAAAGTGATCTTTTCAGATGAACGCGTGCGCGCGCATGGTATGATTTGGCAGGGCATACGGGGGTCGTTACGCCTTGGGTTGGGATGGTTTGCGTTCAAAACGGAAATGAGGGATGGGGCAGGAACTTGTGTAGTTTGCCGTATCCCAGGGCGTCCCGATACGTTCGGGCTCGGGAGGGGGTGGCCCCTGGTTTTCGCTTAGATGGAGAAGCCATGTGGTGCGATCTGTGGGGCGCGAGCGACGTAGTGCAATCTACGCGGTGCAACCCATGTGGTGCAATCTGTGGTGTAAGCACGGTAGATCCATCTGAAATGTGCGAACACTTCTTGTCAAATCATGAGTTGCAACTCCACTCCTCGCGCAATCATCCCACCCTCGCACCTGTAACTTGCTTGGCGGAACCCGCGCGGCCACTACTGCGGATTTGCTTTGACCTGGCTGGCGCGTCTATGTGGCCGCGCTGGCGCGAACGAACTCTCGCGCACAACGGCCAGCTGGTTTGGCACACCTCAGGCGTCCGCGATTGCGCTTGCCGATGGTAATTTCCCAACAAGTCCCAGGGGACGCGCTGGCGCGCGGGCACTTCAATACGGGTCGGTGGATCGGGAGGGCGCGGTATAATGATAACGTCGACAACGGCGACAACGATGATGACAGTAGCGATGGTGGTGGCGATAATGAGAAAGGCGGCGGCAAGACCAATGACGGCGCCGATGCTGGTGACGACGGCGTTGATGATGTCCATGCGTCGGTGATGAAGATAATTGATCGATGATGGCGGCAATGGCGGCGGTTGGCGATGACGATCACGGCGGTGATGCGATGGCCCTCATGAGGGTGTCGGTGACGCAGTGCGCGCGCAAAAATTGAACAAGCCACGCGCGCGCGCGTGGCAGCGCATGCGCGTGGCCCACATGTTCTTCTTCGACACGGATTCGTGCACTGGACGCATGCTAGGTCAACGCAGCTGCACCGCGTGGTGAAATGAGCGGGCGGTGTTCTGCGTTTTTATACAATTTCAGCCACAGCGTGTGGGCAGGCAACCTGGAAGAGTTGTGATGAATTAGCCTAGCAAAGGTTTTATGCTTTGCATCGCCTGCAAAGTTCATGTGTTTGGAACGATTTCGGCGTCTGCGCGCGTGTGGACTTTGCTGCATGCGTTGACCTTTTCAGATAAACACGTGCGCGCGCGTAGTCTGATTTGCCTGGGATAAGGGGGTGTCAGTACCCGTATGGGCTGGGATGTTATGATTCAGCGTGGCAAACGGACAACGAGGAAAAACTGTATGTAAGCTGCAGTGTCACAAAGGCGGTTTCATAAGTCCGAGCTTGGGAGGGAGTGGAAACTGCCTTTCTTATAAAAAGAAAACCACACACCGCAATCAATGTGATGTGAGCTATGTGGTATCAGCACTGACGTGCGAGCTATATGGTGCAGGCTACGAGGGAAGTCCCAGCCACTGGAGGCCGTGAAGGCCACCGACAAAATGATCGTCTTGGGCGCTCGGGCTCAGGCGAACCTGATTATGGTCTCACTGATCGTGTTGGGGGCAGGAGTGTGTAATCATCTCTGTCACACATCCACGCTGGGGCGGTTGGGTCATCGGACCTATCCCCAGCAAAAGTGGCGGGGAGTGGAACCGGCGGCGCCCGTGGTCCAGGCGAGCCGTTTGTGGGTCCTGGGGGAACTGGCCGATGTGGCACCTGCTTTCTGGACCCTACGACACCAGACGGTGGCGCACGGTGCCAGCGGAGAAATGCGCGTGGCATGGAGGCGCGGAAAGCACACCAGAGAAGTAGGAAGATTAGGAGAATGGTCGTTGGCGTTGCTTAGGTTGTCGCTGCTTCGGCGCTAAAAAAATAACCACATTCTCCATGGCTGCGCTGTCCGTGTTGGTGCTTCTACACGCAAGCTGCCGCTGGCGGGTCCTCCCGACCTTCCGGGGGGCGGCAATCTTGTCGGGCCTGCTCCTGCACTTCTGAAAAAGTGGCCGCCGAGCCCGCATGCTGCGGCGCCTGAGGTGTGAGAGGAAGCGACGACGACCTGGTGACCGCAACGCCGTTTGGCACTGCCGCCTCGCTAGCGTGCTTCCTTCGGAGGGGGTCCCCAGATCTTCCCTGCCGCTTCCCCCGGGGTGGGGCCCCGGGGAGAGGGGCCTCCCCTTCGGGCTCTCAGACGGCCGACGTCTCGGGGGAATCGCCGAAGCGCCTCTGTTGGGTCGCCTCTGCGCGGCCCCAGTGGGGCCGGTCTGCCTACATCCACCACGTGGCGTTTTGACGCCACCGCTGGCGCGGCCGCCTCATTGTGGCCGCGCTCTCCGTTGCTCTTCCATGTTGTTGCTGCAGGGTGCCGAGGCAATCGGGGGCCCACCCTCCTTTCCTCTCCCTCTCCCCCCTGCCGGCCTCAGCTTCGACCCTGGTTGGAGCCCCGCCCCCGTATAAAAAAAATGCTTGCAAAGTGCATAAAAAAACGTGTGCGAAACGCATCCGGAACTTATGCAACATGTTTTAGAATTGTATATGTAGCACGCACGAAGCGCAAACGCAACGCATATGGAACGTAAACAAAACAGATTGGAAACGCATTGAAAACTAACGAGTCCAAAACGTTGTATGGCTAGAGAAAAAGCTTACACACAACTTGTACGAAACGTCTCCACACATGACTGAAACGCATACGACACGCATACGAAACGCATACACGACGTATACGAAACATGTACGCACCGAGTACGGAACGCGTACGGGACGTGTAGTAAAATACACGACATATATGCGAAACATGTACGAAACGCATACGTAACGCCCATGAACCCGATACGCAACGCATACGGAACGTATACGGCACGTTTCTGGAACGCTTTCGAAAGGCGTACGGAACGTAAACAAACGCAGATATGTCGTACACGAAACGGTGGCGAAACGTATGCGAACGGAACACGGAACGGAAACAAAACGAATCCAGAGCATCTACAAGACGTTCAAGAGACGTAGACAAAACACATCAAACATTGAAACGTATACCACGGATCGTATACAAGACGCATGCGGCAGGTACCCAAAACGTACACGAACGTACACAAAACGCATGCACAGCGCATACAAAACTCACACGACACGCGTTTGAAACAAAGGATCAAATAATCAAACCAAAAACGAATTGGAAAAAAACACATCCAAACGCAAACAACAACCTTTGCGATACGTATACGAAACGAAAACAACAGTTTGCTGGTACCAATGAAACATACGGAAGGGAAACGGAACGGATATGAACGTACACGCAACGTAAAACAAACGCATATACAAAGCAACGCGCACACTGTTTATCTGAGACGTATATGAAACGTGCTGTAAACGGACACAAAGCGCATACGAAACTGTTCTTGTTTAAAGAGACAAACGAACACCAAAAATGGAACGTGCGTGTTTGCACGTGTCTACTTAGCAACCAGCGTCGACCCCAAATAGATAAGAGGACAGGAGGAGGAAGAGAGGAGGATGGGAGGACGACGACAGGAGAACGGGAGCAGGACGTGAGGAGGACGGGAGGAGCCAAACCAAGCAATCGCAAGCAAGCAAGCGGAAGCAAGCAACAACAAGCCAGCAAGAGCCAGCGATCAAGTGCAAGCAAGCAAGGGCAAGCAAGAGCCAGAAAGCGAGAGCAAGCACGCAAGAGCAAGCAAGCAAGTGCCATTGGAATAGGCAAACCCATAAGAATTAGGGGGGCATAGGGATCAGGGGGGCAACGGACCAATTAGTAGGGTTTGAGTTAGAACTCCGATAGTGCAAGCCTACTTGGAGAAAATACAACTGCAGACTTAAATGTTTATATACACCTACATACTACATACGTAATTGTGTAAATATAAGCACACTCGTGTATCTATACATACACATATATACACACATACAAATGTATCCACAACGTGTGTACAACGTTGAAGGCACACCACATGCACACCGTATGCAGAAACGAATCGCATGCACACCGTATGCACTCCTACCAACCATAATCGAACCGCATGCACGCCGTATACCTTGAGTAGACAAAACGCATACAATCCGTATGCGGAGCATGTACAAGACGTACGCAGACTTCTACAATACCTATCTAAAACGCATCCAAGCTCTATTCAACACGTCGTACAAAACGGAAACGAGCCGTGCTTGAAACGTATACACTACGGACAAAAGACGTATACCACACGTATACACAACTTGAACGAAAGCTAAATACCGCACGAGAAACGTAAACACAACGCTGGCAATATGTATAGCCCTTGTATAGGCAATAAACCGTATACACAACGTAGATGAACGTATACACCACGTAAGTCGAACGTAAACGCAACGTAAACAGAGCATCTCCAAAACGTATACGACACGTCTAGAAAGCGTGCACACTGCACATACGAAATGAATAGAAAACTCGTTCGGAAAGTGTACGAAATCCAATCGAAAAACGTATACACAACGTATACGAAGCGGATGTTATACTCATGTATAAGTATGTGTACGTACGTGTGCTTGTATACCCAACGCTTACAGAACGTATGAACAACGTACACAACGCGCACACAAAAACGCATACGGAACGCACACGAACCGAATTCACACCGTATACCAAGCCTTGGCAAAACACAGACAATACGTAGACACAGCATCCAAAACGTAAGAAGCATGAATCAAACACGTCATACAAAACGTATACGGCAAGTGATTCAAACGTATACACTACGTATACCATATGTACACAACACGTATGAATCGTACACGAAACAGACATGAAGCATACAAAATGCGTACAGGAAACGTACAGAAGACGGGGCCTAGAGGAGGAACCCTCGGAACCCGCAGGAGCCCTCAGGATTCCATAGGATTCCCAAGGAGTCGGGGCGCAAACAAGGAGCGGCCAACCCCACTAGCACTGGTCACACTGAAAACACAACACTGCAACACATGAAAATCCGGAACTGACCAAAACACGACTCGGTTCCCAATCCCTGAGGGCGGTCGCCGTCCTCCTGGTCCCGCATCACAAGTCCCGACGCCCGTCCGAGAGCTCACTTAGTTGGACCCCTCATGTGAGGGGGCGAAGGACAACATAAGATAGACCTTGCCGCCGTCGGGGGCGCCTGCCCCCCGGGCGGCTGCGAAGCATATACCCCTGCGGTGCCACGGTGGGGGCACAAACGTTCCAGCCGCCCGCGAGGCGGGCGCCCCCGACGGCGGAGAAGTTGATGTCATGCCCTGCTTCGCCCGCCGAGGGTGAGAGGCCCCCGCGATCCTCATGATCTTCCGCCGCTCGGCGGACCCAGCGCCCGCCGGCACCAGACCAGCGCCAGCGTGCAGGTCTGCCGAGACGAGCTCCCGCGCGCGGGCCTCTCCCACTCGCTCCTCCTCCTGCTCATCACCATCCTCGTCGTCGTCAGCATCATGATCGTCGTCAGCATCATCATCATCATCATCATCATCATCATCATCATCATCATCATCATCATCATCATCATCATCATCATCATCATCATCATCATCATCATCATCATCATCATCATCATCATCATCACCATGATCGCCAACTACACTATCACGGTCGTAATCTAAAACATCACCAGCAGCATCACAGTCGTCAGCAGCTGCATCACCACCACCACTGCCAGTATCACCACCGCAACCACGGTCATCGTCATTAGCGTCGATCGTCGTCCAACTCCTACCTCTCTCCTCGTCGTCCTCAACCTCGTCTTCCTCCAGCTCATCATCTTCTGCCCTCGTCCTCGTCCTCGTCCTCGTCATCCTCCTGCTCATCCTCCGCATCCCCTCCCCCCCGTTTCCTCCTTACTACCCTCCTCCCTCATCGATCCATCTTCCTCATACAGAACTCCCCACTGCCCCGCCAGCAGACGTGTCCGTAGGCAGGCGTCCCGCTTGAGACTTCCCTTGGAAAACTCCTACAGTCGCACTGCTGGGGCCCGGTGGTTTTCGAGATGTGGTTCTCCCTTTAGCGCCAAGCACAGTCGTTCCAAAGGCCCGGTGGTTTTCGAGATGTGGTTCTCCCCTTATGAAGAGAGAAACTGCTGATGCTTTTCTCAGTCCGATCCAAGCCGAAAGCCTCTGGGGCCAAATGGCTATCATACATAGAATCCGACGGTGCCCTATCTCTGCACTCCTCCTTGGCAACTAGCCCCGAAGCTAGGCAGCCACCACCAGGCACCGTCTCGCCGCACAGGCCGGTCGTGCAAGGCGTCGCGAAGCGACAGGAAAATGATGGGACAGGCAACGTGCCCGTCTCGAAAAGCTGGCACAGCACCCCGCTCATGAACCTCACGTCGCCGATCTCTTGGCGATCGTCCGGTGCAGGGCGCTCCACCTCGACCTGAAGTGGTAGCCCATCCTCTTGAGATGCTTCTGGACCACCTTCGCCGACAACGGCTTGGTCAAGGAGTCGGCTACATTCTCCCGTGTGTCGACCTTCTTGAGTATGACCCTTCGGGCCTTGACCGCACTCTGAAGCCACAGGTATCTCGTCATAACATGCTTCTGACGGCCCAGGCCCTGGCGCGATGCGAAAGCGATCGCCGCCGTCGAGTCCCCGCAGACCTCGATCGGGAACTCTCCGTGCTTGCAGACGACCTCGACGCTCTTCTCGAGCCCGAGGTCCACGGCGATGGCAGCAACCTTGAGCGCGGCGGCAGCCGCACGGAGGATGCCGTAGTACTCAGCCTCGCCGCTCGAAAGGGACACCGTGCTCTGCAGCGATCCCGTGGCCGACAGAGTGTGCTCCCCGAACGCCAAGACCGTCCCGCTGGTTGACTTCCTGGTGATGAGGCACCCCGCGTAGTCCGAGTCGCAGGTGGCCGTGATCCTGTCCGGCACCTTCTGCTTGTTGAACCTTGCGACTAGACACGGATGCTTGACGAGGTACCTCCCAAGCCTCTTGACCATCATCATGTCTGCTGACGTCGGCGCCTGCATGCGCCTCGAGCACTGCTTGACCGCGTCGACGATGTCCGGCCTGTCCAAGGTGAGATAGGCGGCACGCATCACCACGCTTCGATACCGACGGACCTCGTCCGGGGGCAGCGTGCTGAGTTTCGCCTCGTAGTCGATGTCCGCCTCCGTCTTCTTGACCGACGGCACGTCCAGGCCCTTCGACTCGTTCTCGAGGCCCAGCTCCTTGATCAGCAGCTCAACGTGCCTCTGGTCCGACTCGATCTCCACCGCCGGGGTGGAGCCATCAACGTACCGCAACACCCTGTTGAGGAACACGACCTCCTTCGCGTCCCCACTGTCGGGACCCAAGATCCCGGTGCACTTGATGTCGTAGCGCTCGGTCAGCTTCGCCTCGATCTCCTTCAACGTGATCTCGTCGCCGAGCACCATGAAGTCGTCGCCGCGAGCCAGCCCGCGACCTTCATCACTGGGACGATAGAACACTGCTGGGCTTGCCACGCCCATGCGCCACGAATCCTCCAAGAGCTGTCGACTCCAGTCGCTCTGCCACACTGAAGCCGCGTCCTGAGTACCATACATGGAACGTAGCAGCCGAGCGACTCCTCCTCCCTCCTCTTCAGGAAGACGAACGAACAAGATCCTCTGGGCGTCCCCGTACAGGTGCGCCCTGCTGACGTCCCAGAAGCCGATCTTGAGGGGGAGCCCTCGGGGCGAGCGGCTCATCGAGGCCATGAGCGAACACAGGAGCTTGACCGCCTCCAGCGGCGGCGTGCTGCTGAAGAGCTCGCTCGCGCCCATCTGCTCGGACGCCTTCTTCGCAGCCTTGATCTCCATCGCGACCAGTCTGGAGCGGCACTTTGGCCTCTGCTCGTCGCCCTTGTTGGTGTCGACCCAGCGCGTCCGTAGCGGCGCCCGAGCGGTCAGGCGCCTGCAGGTCTCCTCGTCGCTCGGCTCGAACACCTCGCGATGCTTCATCCAGGCCAGCTCCTCCTGGCGCGCGGCCCGCACTCCCGCAGGGTCGAGCCAGCCCCCGTTGACGTCGTCCCAGTACCACTTGTCCGACTCAGCTGCACCTGGAGGGGCGTCTGGCTTGAAGTACTGCGCCTCCTCGTCTGGCACCGGTCCGACGCCCTCGAGCGAGTTGATCTCGCCCGCGATCTCGAGCTCCTCCTTGAGCCCCTGCAAGATCGCGCGGCGTAGCGAAGGCGTGTAGGCCTGCGCCTTCCTAGCACGGCCTCCTCCAAGTAGCGGTACGTGTCGATGTCCTCCAGGACAGCAGACTGCTAGCACCTTAGCAAGGCGCTCGTTGTTGGTCAGCCAGCCGGTGCTCTTCTTGACCGGCCCGACCTTCCCGTCATCGCCCTTGAGCTCCAGGCCCCAGGCGCACATGTCCCCTCGCACGAGGTACACCCCAGGGAGCGAGACCACCCCCTTCACCGCCTCGTCGTCCCACGACTTGGCGCCCCAAGGGTGCTCGATCCTTGTAGACCTCCATCCCGAAGCGAAGCAACACACGATCGTCCTCCTCGGCCTTGGCGTGCGCCTCCGGGTCCTTGTACTTGCCGCGGTTCAAGCTCGTCAGCTTCGAGACGCGCGTGCAGGGCGGCGCCCCGATGACCAAGTAGGGGTCCTGGTCCTCGAGCGCCTGCATGTACCTCTGCTGGTTCACGACCTTCCTCATGTCCAGCGCCTCCTGGGACTCCCGGTCCTTGAGGCTGATGTCCGCCGCTAGCCCTGGGAGCATGCCAAACTCCCCAGCAAGCTCAGTGAAGCATCCTGGGTTGCAGTACTCCGAGAACGCGAGCGACTGCAACTCGAGCGGCACTTCCTCGAGTCCGCCCGTCTCCATGGCAGCAGGTCCAGCGCCTCCTGGGCCTGGTGCTGCCGCCGCCGGCGCCGGGCCTCCCGAGCCCGAAGCCGCCGCGGACGCTGGCGCCGGGCCTCCAGGGCCCGTTTGGGGTGACGTTAACCCGGCCGGGCCCGTTTGGGGTGACGTTAACCCGGCCGGCGTAGGGAGCGCGAGCGGCGCTCCTGCACCTCCTCCTGCTGGCCTCGGGGCCGCGCCCCGAAGGTCCACCGCCATAGGCTGGGGGGCTGCACGCGCCTCCTGGGGCGGCTGCTCCTCCTCACGCCTCCTGACGCGCGGCGCCGAAGACCCCACGGGCGGCGGCTCCGCCCGCGCCTGCTTCGCGCCTCTCCTGCCCTCGAGATCTCTCGGGGCTGGTGGGGGAGGCGGCGCGGCGGCGGCGGCTCCTGGCGCCGCTCGGCCTGCCTCGCCTCCTCTCGCCTGCTCCTCCTCAGCCGCCTTCGCCTCCCTGAACCGGCGAAGTCGCTCGTCACCTCGAGCCGCCAGCGCCTCAATCACGCGCTGTCGGCACAGCTCAGAGTGGGCAACTCCTGCGCGCCCAGTGGCCACTAGGTTCTCGCAGGCGACGCAGCCCTGTCGGCCCGATGCCCGCGCCCAGGATGTTGGCCCTGGTGACGTAGAAGCCCACGTCTCGAGACTCGGCGGCTGCTGGCAGCGCCACCACCACTGGCGCCTCCACGCGCCCAGCTCTCGGGGCGACGTCCGCAGGAGCTGCCGCGTAGCGCTCCTCGCCGCCCTTCCAGTCCCAAGGCTTGCCTTTGAGCCCGAGGACCTCCTCCTCGTTCCAGGCCCAGCGCTCGGCGGGCGGCAGGCGTGAGATCGCCGTGCCGCGCTGCACCCCCTTCGAGGTGAGCACCAGCGCCGTGCCGCTCCTGCTGGTGTGGCCCACGTAGTAGCCCGTGACCCAGCGGGGTTCCAGGTCGCGCTTGAGCGAGTCCTTCACCAGCTTCTTCACCTGGATGCGCTCGCCGAAGGGAACCGTCACCTTCTCCCAGCGCTTGCCAGACCTCCTCTGCTCACTCGTCTTACCGTCGTCGCCGATCTTGAACCTATTCAGCATCTGGGCTGCATAGGTGGGGGCCCACAGCATCAGCGGGTGCCCGAACGGCAGACGCTGCTTCCACTTGGCCTGGGCTGACACCAGTACCGTCCTGACGACGCCCTTGATGACCTTCACCGCGTTCTCGGCTGCTCCATTCGCCTGGTGCTCTCCCACCGGGCTCTCGCGAAGCAGCAGCTCCTTCCCCTCGGCCTTGCTGCAGACGTCCCTCTTGAGCGCCAGCAGCGGGTTCTCGCCGTCCGACTGGTAGATGCACCTCTTGTGGCCGATGTGATTGAAGAAGTCGACCGCCACGCCCGAGCTGAAGTCACCCTTCCCCTTGGCCGGGACCGAGCTCGCACCGTAGCAGCCCGTCCCGCTCGGCAGGCAGTCGTGCATCACCAACACCGTGATCGCAGAGCTGACGTCGCGGCCTCTGCTGTCCGACTCGCTAGCGTTGAGGTAGCCGTAGTCGGTGACGACCGTAGGGACCTCTCCCTCAGCAGGTTGATGTCCGCGATG